GGAAGGAAGGAAGGAAGGAAGGATCTAATGAGAAAGTCTTTAAGTTCTTCCAGACTATACTTTAAAAGAAAATTAATTCTATCCAGCTTGCATGGTCTAGATCTCTGCAGAAAATGTTAGTGACCTTGTAAGACAGAAATTTTTTTTCCCAGTTACAAGGACTCCTGCCTTCCTGCAGTCACTGGCTGTTTCCAAATAGAGCAGCTTCTGGGAGCCATCCAGAGGGAGAAGCTTAGAGAAATGTAATCAGTGGCAGCACTTTTGCTAGCTCTGCAGTATCTTAAAGTAGAAGGAGGGGGGAACCCTCAGCAAAGTCCCTGGCCTTCAATTAAAAAATTCATATTGCTTTCCTCATTAGTCCAATCATCTGCTATAGCTATTTCCAAGCTTACCCTGAAGGCCCTGCAGAGGAATTCAATTTCAAGCCCAGTGCAGTGCAGGAAGGAGCTGTGTTCTTGGGAGCAGCTATGCTTTGTGTTGACATGAGGAGATCACTTGTCTGGATTAGTCATGTGAATTAAATGATGTTGATGCATTTTTTTGGAAAGAGGATTTCTGTATGAAAGGCAGCTCTGTTGCACAGCACCTCCCTGGCTGCAAAGGCTGGAGTCACCTACAAAGTGTCACTGGCACCAAAAAAACTCAGTCTTGGAGAACCCCCTCAAAGTCAGGTCTTGAACAAGAGGCCTCACAATCTAATTCTCTCTGCTAATCTCCTCCATTACTGTAACTAGCTGACAGGCTATGAGGGAAGTTTAAAGCAGTGTGGGCTAGGAGAAAAAGTTTTGTATCCATCTGCTTACCTCCACAACTTCAGCCCTTAAGCATCTGCAGCCACTGAGAGTCAGCCACACTCCTTGAAAATGAGCCTATGGTCTTATGAATCTCCTATGTAGGAGCTGTATTATCTTTTTCTTGATTTCCTTTTACTACTTCAGCTTAATGTTCTGTGTCGGTGAAAGTACAAACAGGTCATCATGAAGATGCTGGCAGTAGCTCTTGAGCACAGTGCATGACTTTCACGAGGTAGTAAAACTTGTAGGGCACTGCACAATATCTGTTTCTGTAGTATTCTTCATGCTAATCTGTGCTAGGATTGCACAACATACTCCTTCACCAAAGCTCTTGGTGTTACATTATCTGCCCTGAAAAATCTGTAAGCTTTTATCTCTATATTCCTCTCTATTTCCCTGCAGTTCTTTTCCTTCATCATTAAAAGTAAAACCAGTCATCTTCTTTCCCCCTATATCACCCATCATTTTTATTGTGCTTTTCATAGTTTGCTTATTAAGTAGTTACCCTAGGGAGACTTCCTTTTTATTGGAACATACAAAAAAGCTATAACTGCTCTGAACACTTGTGGGGAGGAGGAGGGAGAAGGGGGCAAGGAAGCAAATTCAGGCCAAGGTCTCAGAAATACGTGTGGTGTGTTCAACAATATGCCTCATATCATCTCTATTTCTTTTTCTAAAAGCAACAAGATGTTCTTTCTTGTTTTCTGCTTATTCCCCAAATCAGCCTATATGGTTAAAAATAATGTGCCTGAAAGTCTGGACAAAATTGTTGTTGTTTTAGGAGCAACATCCATCTGGCTGCTGCCACTGTGTGGCAGGGCACAGACTAGATGACTTCCAAAGGTTCCATCTGCACTTGTTTTCTAGAATTGCTGAGAAAAATAAACCCAAACACTAGATTTAGCAGTCAGGCATTAGAGTGAAAGCTGATGCAGCATCAGAATAAACACCATCCACTCCACTTTGGGAAGAGTTCTAGTGTGGCTCCCATGTTCATTATGGCTCTAATACCAACAAGCAATCAAAGAAAGCTCATAAATATTTTCTGGGGGCAAGAACAGCAATTCAGGATAATGAGGTCCTGGCAGGAGGAATGCTCCTGAAGTCTCAGAGAAGGGACTGCTTGGATATCTTCACACACTTGCTCTCAGCTAAGCTCTGCTTCCTACTGGACTGGTTGGCCTGAACTTCTTAGGCCTAAACCAGAAAACAGCATTGGAAAAGAGATGCCCATATTCCACTATATGATCTGTGAGGGGTCAAAACCCTAGATGGGATCCTTAACAATAACAAAGCCAGAACCTTCACCTCTGTAATTTCCAAAAATTCAGATTCTCTTTTTTCTCACATCCCAGGTAAGTACCCAATCTCTCAGATGAGAGAAACAGCCTCTCTCTGGAGGCAAGTAGCTATCACATTATTTATACAAAGTGGAACAGCTCCCAGAGGAGAGACTGAGACAGACAGGTGCAAGAATACCAGTATAGATAAGGGTTCAGGGGTATTCAACTGAGAGAGAGAGAAAAAAACTCCTTCAAATTCTCTCCATTTCTGTTTCTCTACATACAGAGATATGTATAGATATTAATATCTGCATGTGAAAATCCGTTCATAGGTATACATGTATGTGTACATGTGTGTTTAAATACATCCCTATAAATGAAAGAAAACTGTACAAACATACATTTTATACATGTATACACATACACTATACGAATTTCCACCTTGGCCCTAGAAACTTTGTCTATGTACAGTCCAATGATGCATTCTTTCCAAACCTTTCAGTTTTAACTAATCAAACCAAGGGTGCACAAACACTTTGGTAATTCTTCAACATAGAGAGCTGGAGCTTTTCTGCATATGATCATCAGTAACAGAAACAATACCTGCACCTACAAGGTTCAGACAGTGCTGCCTTCGGGTGGCGCAGGGTGTTCTCTTTCAACAGCATTTCTTGACAAGAAATTAAATCACATAGTCTCATGCTGCTGCTTTCTCAGGGGATGAATTACATGCCTGTAGAGTCCTACCACAGAGTCAGTCCTGCTCTCTGGATGCTTTTAGCAACACCTGCAGGCCCTGCTGCACACACTAGTTATAGTAATGTAATGCTATTTGGAGGGTAATGAACAGGACTACTTTCTAGGGAATATTATTTCCGTATGAAAATTTCCTCTTAATTCATTTCAGAAAAGCTGTCTGATACAGCCTGAGTGCATGCAAGAGAGCAGCAAGATGTCTCATACCACAGACTCTTCATCTGTGACTAGCAGCGCAGAGAGCAGAGCTTCCTATGAAACACCATCGGTATCAGAACTCCAGCGGCTCTTGTGGTTCAAAGGAGAGTCTGATAATCACATGGACCAAGTCTGGCCAAATGTTTACCTGGGAGATGAGTAAGAATACATGGTCCTATTTTTAAGCTGTTATTGGTGCCTGGGAGGAGGAGGAAGGGGTGTGGTACACTTGGGAGCAGCTTTTGGGTCTGCAGGAATGTTTTTGTGATACAGGCTTCCAAAACTGATAGCATAAGGAGATGGGATGTCAAGAAAAACATGACATGCAAAATGGTGACTTACTCATGGTGTGTTTGAGTTGGGGTTTTTGTATTCTGTGAGCCAGCATAGATTTGGTGTGATAAGAATTATTTGCATTCTAGACAAAAGTCCTCAAGGAACCCATGTCAAATTGGTGTCAATTTTGAGATGCATCATCTGTCCTGGAAACTGTGCTCCAAGGCAGCAGACAGGAGCATAGTAGCCCTCACACTCAAATAGGGGTAGAAGGATCAAAAGCCAGAAGGAGGAGGACCCAAATGAATTATATAGTAGGGATTTTGACATTCCAAATCCAAATGTTCTTTGAAAGATGGTAAAACTGAAAATATCAAACAGGAATTTTTACGTGAGTACCTTATTTTTGTGACTATTTATTATTTCCTTTACTGCAGATTACGTAGATCATCAGCTCATTTTTCCCAGCTTCTCCTCATGAAACATCAGTTAAGGTTCAGAGTTTTGTAGAATGCCTTCAGTCCCAGTTTATGGTGGGAAGTGGGGAAAACCTAGCTGGTGAACACAATGCATCCAGTTCAGGTACAGACCAGAAACAAGGTGTTGCTGCATCTGTGTGAGTTCTCATCCTTGAGACCCAGGCACACTACCAATGAGAGATTAGCTGTAGAACTTGCTGAACAAATATTTAAAGGAAAATCTTGACCACTTTATACAGTAAGCCATGTTCCCAGGGATTAACTGCTGGGAAGCATTTGCTTAACTGACAGTATCCCACTGGCAAGCCTGTTCTCTTGCTGCTCTCCACACCCCCATATCATTTTTTTCATGCACAAAGCACTCTGGGCTTCTTGAAATTTGCTCCTCTGTAGGCAAGATGCAGTTCCTGCATCCTTCCCTGGTGGGAGCAGGGACTAACTTTAAACCATGCTATTTTTGCAGAATGTTAGGAGTGTTGCCAATGTGCCCTTCATGTCTTTCAACAGGTGGGCTGCTAGAAGCAAAAGTACTCTTCAAAGCCTCAACATTACTCATATCCTTAATGCAGCAGATGGACCATGTAACGTCAACACAGGAGCCGAATATTACAAAGATCTGCAAATAGAGTACTACGGAGTAGAAGCATTTGATGATCCTTCCTTTGATTTAAGCATCTTCTTCTATGATGCTGCCAATTTCATAGGCAAGGCCTTAAACTCTTCAGGAGGTAAGAGGGAGGCAAAGATAAGCTTTGGGAGGAAGTTTCGACATGAGCCAAATGACATCTTACAGTAACAGGCATCAGCAGAGCTAAGAATCAACATACAGTTCAAGGCAGCTCATGCAGAACCACTGAGTGGAGGATGAAGAAGGGCACCTATGCCATGTGCTGCAGGGAAGAGGGCTGTGACCAGGTCCCCAGGAGCTAGGGAAGAGCTCAGCCCAGTGTGGCGGGAGGAAGGGCAAACTCTAGGACCAGACTGCAGAGGGTTATGCAGTCAGGGTTAGGCAGAGATTATGGCACAGTGGATGCTCCCTCATGGGCCCATCCTGTAGGAACCAGCAGGATCCATGTGTTTCTACAGCACCATACACCTCTCACACACCAGCAGGGGCTGCAGTCTGGCAGTCCTGCTCCATGTGCTTCAGCCCTGCTCCCATTCCCGATGTGTTCAGCCTGGAGCAGCAGCACTTCAGCACTGGCTCAAATGCTTCACATGCTTAAGTGCTTTGCAGAATTGGAGCTTATTTCAGCCTGTCTATTAAGCTAGAGAAGCAGCAGAAGTTAATGAACTAAGTCAAAAACTAGGAACCTGACCCACAGCCTGCTGAATTTTTGTCAGCAGAGTTTGGATTATGGCCTAGTTATCATAATTTCCATTTGTTCCAGAGTTTGCTCCGACTCTGACTGGCTGCAGGATCTGCTGCTTTCACTGGAGTGCTTTATTAAATCCCCAGTTATAGCTCACACTGGGCTGCTGAGATACAGTAAATTATGACTCCATTTTTACAGGCAGACTATCCCACAGAGTTTATGGGACCTGCCAGTGATCAGTCAGGTCTGGGCCAAATTTTTCTGCCAATTTTTTTTTTCCACAGAAAACTATACTAACAAGTTTAGTCACAGAAAGCTTCTCCTTCCACAAAAAATTTCAACTATTTTAATCTGAGGCCTAAATTAGATGCAGGAGGTAAGTATGAAATACCACCGTGCCTGAGAGTTATAGCACAATCTTCCTGAAAACATGAGGATCTACTAAGTGTCACCATTGCTTTCCCAACTTGTTTCTAGTATTTTTTTTTCTCTTTCCAGTGTCTTTCTCACTTTAGAAATGCTAAAGTGCATCCACCTTGCTGTGCCTTTCTTTTTCTGCAGGTAAGGTATTTGTTCATTGTGCCATGGGAGTGAGCCGCTCGGTGACTTTAGTGCTTGCCTTTTTAATGATCCATGAAAACATGACACTTGTGGATGCTCTGAAGACAGTGAGTGCTCACAGAGATATCTACCCAAATTTAGGGTTCCTCAACCAGCTCCGGGACTTGGACATTAAACTGAACGAAGAGAGGAAAGGAACTAAGACACCTGCTACCAAAGAGCTGTAAGAGAGTGTTGCTGAAAGAGGGAGAACAAAATCTTATTTGAGTTTCCAGTATCTCTTATAAATGAACTGCTTTTGTAAACTAAGAACGCAAGCTTATAAGACACCAGAATGCATGTTATTAATAAAAGTAGATTTTGCCTGATCTTTCCATTTTGCAAAACCCTCCTAGATTTATACTTCTGAGTAGTTGTATATTCTATCATTCAGTCTCCACCTTAAAACATTGCTCTCTGCTGTTTAAAGTAAAAAAAAAAAAAAGAAAAAAAGAAAGGTATCAGATTCCATTTCAGAAATAGCTGTGTTTCAGCAACAAGTGAAGCTCATATCACTTTATGAAGTGTTAGGCTATTTGAGGTGAAAGATGCCATATTATTTATGCTACAATAATGCTTAGAAGTTTTCTTATGAACCAGCCCCCCCATCCCTTTGCTCCCTGTATCTCAAAGGGTTTGTATTTTGAGACTTGAATCTGGCACTGGTTAGTTCTTGCTTTTACAATTGGTGGAGCTCCTGAGTTGGGGGTAAGGGGCTGTTTAAAGGCAGAGCAGCTGGGAAACAACACAAGCCACTCCTAAGAAATTATTCCAGGTCTCTCTATAGTGTTTTCCCTTTGTCTGTTCATCAATTTTTATTTTTCCTCCATGAAAATACATTTCTTTGAAAGGCATTCAAATATTGTTCATCTTCTGTAGTAAATAATCCAGGAGATGAGGCAGAAAATGCTTCTGAAGAAGAAGGTGAATTCCCACCTCAGGCTCAAACAGCTGCATGGACAGTAGGAGTAGCTGCAGGGAAACTTTCAATGGTGCAGTTCAATGTATCCCAAATTTGTCTGACAGTTCAAAATTGTAAAATTTGGTATTTTCTTTCTCAAAAATAAAAGATTATTAACATTGCAACATTGTATTCTGTGGCATTTGCTTTTGTGAGGGGAACTCAAGTGAAAACTGAAGGCACACAGGAATGGCAAGGGACGTGTTGACAGGCATCAGGCTTTCATCTTTGTGTCTCTGGGCCACCATAAGAGCACTCAATAGCTACTGTCATCTGATGGATCAGTGCTGCCTGGAAACTATGTGAAGCACATCTGGCTCTCAGTTCCCAGCGGACAAACATTCTCGCAGCACAAAGCCAGCTTAGGATGGCAGTTTGCATTCCTAGTACCAAACTCAGGAATGCAGAGGCATGAATACTCCCCACCATGTGAGCTGGCTACTCCAGAACCGCACAGTAACAAGGGGAAATATTCCTTGCCATTTCCAGTGCTGTCTACACAGCCCATCTGCCTTCAGGACAAACAATTCAGCACCTTTTATAATGCTCTTTGGTGATATCTACATCTGCTCTGAGGACCAGACTATACAAGGCAGAGCACAAAGCAGAGCATTTGGCACTGAGAATCTGAGCCTCATACTGAGGGCATCTCAGAGGGTTTTGCTTTGGACTAACCCTGTGGATTGGACTTCTCTGAACAGCAGTAGAGCAGTTCTGGAGCACTTTAGTTCCCTATATAAAGAAACCTGCTCATGAGATCCAGGGCTGCCCTGCAAAGTCAACAAAACCACAGCAAGTAGGCATCATCAAAATAAAAGTACGATTCAAACCCAAATCAAAATTTAATATGCATGTTTCCATTATTGATTAAATCTAACAAAGTGATTTAAACTTATAGGACATGTGGAATTCCACCTGGAATACTGCATGCAATTCTGATGTCCTCAATGTAAGAAGGACATGGAACTGTTGGAGCAAGTCCAGAGGAGGCTACAAGGCTGATAAGAGGACTGGAGCATCTCCCCTACAAAGATAGGCTGAGGAAGTTGGGGCTGTTCAGGCTGGAGAAGAGAAGACTGCATGGAGACTTTTCAATATATGAAGGGACCTACAAGGGAGCCAGAGAGGGATTCGTTAGGAAGTGCAATGATTGGACAAGGGGTAATGGATTCAAATTGAAGGAGGGAAAGTCTAGGTTGGATGTGAGGAAAAGGTTTTTTACTATAAAGGTGGTGAGACATTGGAACAGGCTGACTAGGGAAGTGGTGTTTGCCCTGACCCTGGCGGTGTTCAAGGCCAGGCTGGATGAGGCCTTGAGTAACCTGATCTTAGTTGAGGAGGTGTCCCTGTCCATGGCAGGGGGTTGGGACTAGATGATCTGTAAGGTCCATCCAACCCTTAAATTCTATGGTTCTAATAACATACTTCAATTAATAAAACCCCCAGTGGATCTGGCTATGGAGATGCCTCCAGCCCAAGAACCATATTTTCTTATACTTCTTGCTATAAGAACCAGGAGTGAAACCAACCAGGCATTTTTAGCTGTAGACCAAAGGGCAGAGCTGAGGATCTCTCACTGGGGATACAAGAACCCCTACACACTAAATGTATTTCACAAGGTACAAACTTACTGCATTTTTAAAATACTCGTTTGTACAACTGGAAACCTGCAGCTTACTTTGATGACAAATTATTGTAAACACTGCAGAGCAACGCAGAGAATGCAACCTCTCAGACTGCAGTGTCGCGCGCGCGGTTTTCCCCCAAAGGACCTGGCGCATCCCACATCCCATCCCGCATCCCATCCTACATCCCATCCCGCATCCCGTTCCACATCCCATCCCACATCCCGTC